TCCATCTTGCGGAAGACTCCTTAACACCTTTCTAGCTTGTTCATCTATAGGAATATGCCTATCCAGGGCACCCAACTTATTAATTATATCATTATACTAGTAAACATTTCTTCTATGGTTTCCTTTGGTAGCATTTCAAATCTCTCATATTTAGACATCAATAAATCAATTTTAGAACGTTTTACCTCGTTTGTACCTTCATGAGAAACATCCAGTAGATCCCATATTTGCTTAGCAGACTTGCATCCCATGATTCTGTTGCGCTCATGGGGTCCAAGTTCATATTTTTGAAAATCCTCTTTTTCAAAATCACATAAAGGTTTAGGAACTACCTCGTTTTTCTCATTAGTTTTGGTTACCTCAAAGTCACCAGACTCAATAACGCGCCAAACCTGGTAATTTTCATCCTTGATGAATATCTTCATCCCGTTCATCTAATAAGTATAGAACTTACCATTGAACAAAGGTGGACGTTAGGTAGAGTACCCTTCTTCAAGCTTATCTCGATAGTTCATCTCTACTCAGGAACATACTGAGCAAAGTCATTGGCTTCTACATGAGAACCAATGCTCTGATACCAATTGTTAGTTGAGACGAATACTACAAAGGGTGGTGAATTGTATGTGAGTTCCTATTGACTACTTTTGCGGAATTAAAACAGAATATAAAGGAAATTGGCAATGCACACAAGATTTTACGAGGAAACCTTCCAGGGCCCAACTAAAAGTAAAACCTTGACCCTCCTAGAGTTTTCAAACACAAAAACAATTCACTATAATAGGGAAAACTCTCCTAGTTATAGCCTATTATAATCAGACCTTTACTCACAAGTTCCTTACTGAACTTGCTACTCGATAGGACCTTATCCTACCCAATCTAAATCCTATACTTTGATTCTGCTCTATACTCCCTGAATGTGTACTCACTCAGCTTCAATCTAGAAGCCTACAATCTGTATGCAATAAGCTAAACACTCACCCAAACCAAAACAATACAAACTCTTTGACTCTAATATGTGATACGAAAGCTACACATGGAATCCGAAACTAATATGACAAAGTTTAGACTTAGCAAACTTACCCTAAGAGCTCTCTTCGGATTCTTCACGCATAAACTCACAAGTTGTGTAAATTATGAATTCTACTTTACATACAAGAAGTACTCATATGTAAAGTAGGGTTTTCAAAAAGATAGAAATTATAAAACTACTAATTTCATGAAAAACACGTTTTTTATGTAAATCTTTTGTAAGGAAAATCTTTTTAGAAAACTTATCAAAGATATAATTTATGAAAGGAATAATGATTTGTAAAAGTGGATTTTATAAGATAATATATTTAGAAATTTTTTTCATAAATTAAAACTTATCTTTTATAAACTTTTCATTTTTTAAAGCTTGCCAAGATTTGTCACGTCTCTGATAAATTCCATGCATAAACTAACCTAACTTATTTACAATAATCCTTAGATAAATAAACTTAACAAAAAGACTTAAATAATCTAGCTGGATTATCTCATCATACGCTGTATTGTTTAGGATACTTGGGCTTCACGCAGACCAGGATTGAGTTCCTGTTTCCCTTCACTCTCCAGCTCCTTGCTGGTACCTCGCAGGCTAAGTTCTTATAGAACTTGATGTCTTCATCGCAGACCAAGTCAAACTTCTCAACATGTTATCAAGCTCCTGTTAGAGAGCTTCACTTCATGTTCCTGTTAGGGAACTCAATTAGTTCCACTGAGGAACTCTTCTTCTACTTTCCTTACCTTTCCTTTGAGTCTCTTTGTGTCTTCATAGTCAGATTACTCTTCCACTTCCAAAGTCAACTTCACCTGTTCTAGTTACAACACTTAGAGAAATCACATTAGTTGAAGTTTGCTTTTACTCATCATCATCAAAACTCTTAAGCTTCAACACTACTTACTTCATAATGCATTTTAGAGTCCATAAACACTTCAACTTTGATCTAGCATGAAGAACGAGTTTTTGTAACATCATCGCACTTCTTGTCGAGATAGGAGGCCAAAAGTAGGTGTCTACAGTTAGCCTTCACTTTGATCAAGTCTATAATAGACGTAGATCAAAGTAGTCAAGTAAGTAAATCCGAGACTCATGGCTGATGTCATGTTATGAAAAGGTATCAGGATTAAAAAGATTAAAAGAGGATGATACCCTCTCAATATAGCATCGGCAGTCTAAAGTCCCATGATTTTGTCATTGAAACTTTAGTCCATGATTTTAACAAAAGAAAAGATGATAAATAAGGGGTGTTTCGGCATTCGTAGCCTAACACTTGAATAAAAGTTTGACATACGCTGTCAAAGCAAAGATTTGATGTCCACAAGATAGAAATACATGTCTCAAAGACTGGAGATACATATCCAAATCAAGTGAGAGAAATTAAAATCGGCAACTCTCTCAGAAGTTTTGTCCACAAGATGAAAACACATGTCTTAGGACTAGGGGCACGTGTCTAAATAGGTGTAGCTTCAGTTTAGGCCGCTCTTTATACAAGGGGTGGTCGGACACCTTAATTGTTCGGTGAAGCAAGATTGCTTTCAAGCTAACTATATTTGCTTCCAACGGGGGTCGTCTGCCCCGATGGTCGGCGCGCTTTGTTGACTCGTTAAGCTATCGCCTAAAAAAGGTTCTATCGTTTTTGACGAGAGGCAGATCACGTTGGTAGTGCAATTTTACAAAGCACATACGCCATACAATTTTACGTTGTACGATACGCGGTATTTTTGTTAAGTAACGATAAAGATACGAAAAACATGGCATTTCTTAAGCAAAATAGGAAAAATGCCAAACTGTCTATGGGAGTTTTTACATAAATCACCACTACGTGATATTTTTTAGTCATTTTCCGAGAAATATCCAAAACATATGCTTGGGCAGGCACAAAGCACGGTGCGCATGTAGGAAAAACAATCAAAGAATAAGATAAACTACAAAACGCAAAGCAATAAAAGGTTTTTGAAGGTTTTAAAAATTTTGCGAGAAAGCCTGTCGAGGCACGAATTCGACGAGCTAAAACTTTTGGTTTGGAAGACTTAATAAAAATCGGGAAATGGTCATTTTAACTGACCAGTATCGTGCGCAACTTTGAGGGTTGCGCTGGAGTGTCACGCGTAATATAAGAAGTTGCGCGTAGTTGTCCCGCGCAACTTTGTGAATTGCGCGCAGAACTCAAACAACGAACAATTCTAGAAGAAACACGATCCGCGACTTGTGCTCTTCTTTGTCATTCGCCATTTTTTTATCTCTTTCTCTAGAGCTCTATTTTCGCTGTTGTTTGAAGGTAAGAAAAGTAAATCTTTGATAGGGTCATAAAAGTATATTATTTTATTTCATTAGACTCTTGATTTTATAATGACTACTAATGATTTAAGAGTAATATTAAGCAGTTTTATTCACGAGACACGAGCTACTACTATTTTATTTATTTGTTTGTAGGAAGGTAGATTTTGGTATTACAGTGCAATTTACCAATGTTTGGGTTAAAATTAGCAAATAGCCACGTGGGCCTTCAAGTACATTAACTCCTACTCTTTCATAACAAACTAAAACAGGAGCAGCTCAAAACCTTTCAATTACCTCATTGTTCTTGCGGGTAAACAACAAATATATCTTCCACCGATTCTTGCGGAATCAACTCTAAAACCAGAAGATAAGGATGAAATCAGATGAGGATGAGAGCAAGAAATTCGGGATAGGAAAAGATCTTAAAATAAAAAGAGGTGTATTTTGGCGGATCCGGGGGGAGAAATTTTGGAACTTATCTTAAGAGCTTATTGGCAGCAAAAATCAGCAACAAACGGGAGGAAAACCAGCAGCGTTTTGGAGCTCTAATTGCTACGAAATCAGCAAATTTGGTGGGGTTGAAAACTGTACTTTGGGGCGACACTCTCGAGGACAGCTGGGTAGTTTTCTAGCAGCAGCAACGAAACTTGGTGGGAGTACTGTACCGTTCATGGTTCTTTCATCCATCAATTTGTTATTCTTACTTTAATTGATTGTTTATAAATTTTGCACCAAGAATTTCAATTCATGGGTAATTGTTAAGTTATTTTTGTCTCTAATATTTCATTCGGTTATTAGATCTTGTCAAATAATTTTATAGTTTGTTCCATTATAGTTATTTATATTCTACTTCAAAAATATGATTTATATAAGTGTCATTGTTAGTACTTCAATTCTTGATATGTTAAGCTAGATTACTAGTGGGTACGGGGATTTATTATACATTGGATTATTGTGTTGTGAGAATAAGAATGTGGTAATTTTATAGTATCATGTGTATATCTTGATTGGATTGATAATCTGTTTTATCAGTATGAATTAGTTAAATTATATTCTAGACCGGTCATCTTTAGTTTAGTTTGCTAGTTTATTTGCTAGAATATTAATTTGTGAACGTAACTATCCGGATTATTACTCTTTAGTACCACTTAGGTGTTTGATAGGTGACTAAAATTTGTCCGATGCCTATGATTATCAACCCTTACGAATCCGAGCTCGTGAGATTTGTTTCTCAAGTTAGCTACTTCCTAGTTATTAATGCTGCTAATTAACCGAGTCTAGAGAGCTTGTTCTAGATTGTTAGTTAGTTAGACAATACTCCAAGAGCTTGTTTTTTTTTTTTTGCAATTAAGGGATGTGTCAAATGCTTATTTGTGTTCATCGGCTAACATTGAGATAAAAACGTGATTTATATAATTCGATGATCAATCGATATTCCAATGCTATATTATATCTCCCGTTCCCTATTTCGTCATTCTTGATTTTTGATTATTTATTATTAATGTTAGTTTTATATCTCCGTACTAAGCTTAATTTCAAGTTCGTAGTTTTACATATTAGATCGTAATAGTCATTCTTCAAATCAGGGTTTTTAACATACACAAGTAATAATTTAATAATCCAATTCTTTGTGGGATCGACCCTAGCTTACCCTACTACATTTTTAGGAGGTTAGAGTTAGGTTTTTTTTTTGGTAGAAACGCGACAGTCGTACCAAATTTTGGCGCCGTTGCCGGGGAATTGGCTATTTATTACATTATTACTTGTATTTTTGGTAGAAACGCGACAGTCGTACCAAATTTCTAGTTCCATGTTTGTTTATGTGTGACAAAAATTCGAAGAAACAAAGATTAAGGGAATTTGCAGCAAGGAACCAAGGACTAATAATTAATCATTTTTCTATGTCTTTTGTATTTAAAAGGACTCGTGCTTAGATATTGGAGCAAGCTTGTTAGATTTCGTTGCCCTAAGTGAGAGTTCATTATCTTTGGAAAAGGAAACTGAAGAAATTTTTGAGATGGCTGACGGTACCTTAAAGCAGCTTGCTTTTCCTACCTTTGATCCTAATATGCTCAACATATTAGATGGTGAGACAGAATGTGAGATTAAGCCTAGATTGATTAGAGCATTACCCACATTTTTAGGCTTCCGCAATACTAGCTCCTTGGGTTCAGTTTACATGAATGAGGCGAACAGATTCTTGAAATAATTTCACATAGCATGTGCGGGGATGAAACCTGATAGTTAACCCTTGACCAGCTCAAGTTAAAGGCATTTCCTTTTGCTTTGACTGATGCTGCCAAGGAGTGGTTGTTCGGACTTCCTACAGGAACCATCACAACCTGGACTCAGATGCAAGAAAAATTCATAGAAAAATATTTTCCGGCATCTTTGGCAACAAACATTAGAAAAGAAATATGTGGGATTCGACAAGAAGATGTAGAGTCACTTCATGAGTATTGAGAGCGTTTCAAAAAGTTATATGACAGCTGTCCTAATCATCAGATCAATGAGCAATTGCTAGTGCAATACTTTTATGAAGGGCTCACGGAGTCGGATCGGAACTTAATTGATGCTGCAAGTGGTGGAGCAATGGTTGATAAGACACCCGCAGATGCAAAGATACTGATAGCGAACATGGGAGCAAACTCTCAGTATCGAGGAGGTCGAAATATCAAGTCACTTTTGAACGTCAAGTTAATGAAGTGGTGAGTTCTAACCTCGAGCAACAAGTAGCTAAACTCACTTCCTTAGTGGAGCGAATAATGATAAAAAAAAGGGGCAAGAAATAGCATGTGGCATCTGTATAATGGTAGGACACCCAATTGATATGTGCCCCACTATGCAAGAGGAACAAGTGAATTCTATTGGTGGTGGTCAGGGGTAGCAAAGACGTTATGATTGATTCTCTCAAACTTATAATCCGGGGTGGAGAAATCATCCAAACGTGAGATATGTTCAACAACAGACAGGCAACTCCAACCTCAGAAAATCAGCTTTCCATCAACAACAAGCATCTAATCCTCCACCTGGTTTTCATCAGCAACCACAATATCAGCCGCGACCTCAAAATTAGCAAGTTTCCCAGCCACAATCTGGTAGCATGTCTCTGGAAGATATCGTGAAGGCAATGGCTGACAACACTTTGCATTTTCAGCAAGAAACAAGAAGTGGTCTAAAAAACTTGGAGAACCAAGTTTCTCAGTTAGCTAACACAGTGGGAAAGCTCCAAGCTCAGAGTTCTAACAAGTTGCCAAGTCAACCAGAGAGAAATCCAAAGGATAACGCAAGTGCAATATCACTTAGAAGTGGCAATTCAAGCAATTAGAGGTCCAAGCGAAAACGACTGAAGTGCTGGCTGAACACCAAGAGGAACATGAGACCATTGTTCCAGAAAAAGATGAGCAGCCCTCTAAGGTAAGTGATGTTGTTTCATCCAAAACTGACCATTTTTCTTCTTCTGTACCTTTCCCTAGCAGGTTGTCATCTAAGGATAAAAAGAAAGAGATGGAGAAAGAGGTGCTAGATGTATTTCGCAAGGTAGAGGTGAATATACTTTTACTGGAAGCCGTTAGACAAGTGCCACGGTATGCAAAGTTCTTGAAGGAGTTGTGCACTAACAAGAGGAGATTGAGTGGAGATGAAAAATTCAATGTAAGTAAGAATGTTTCTGCTATTTTACAGAGGAAAGTTCCTCCCAAGTGCAAGGATCCAGGTATTTTTACTATGTCTTGTAAAATAGGTAACAAGAGATACGATAAATGTATGAAAGACTTAGGAGCTTCTACTAATGTCATGCCTTTATATATCTATAAAGCTCTGAACTTAGGACCTTTGAAAGACACTCGAGTGATTATTCAGCTTGCCGACCGTTCTAATACATACCCTGTATGAGTAGTTGAGGATGTCTTAGTGCAAGTGAATGAATTAGTATTTCCTGCTGACTTTTATGTTTTAGATATGCCAAATGATGAATCCCATAGTACAACACCTATCTTATTAGGAAGACCTTTTCTGAAAACATCCAGAACTAAAATTGATGTTCATAGTGGGGTGTTTGACCATGGAATTCGATGGGGAGGTCATACGGTTTAATTTATTCAATGCAATGAGATATCCTGCTGATTATGAATCTGTTTCTAGGATAGATATTGTTGATATTCTAACTGAACAGGTTCAATTTATTTCAAGTCAAGATGCGTTAGACTTTGTTTTAACTGCACTTATGGAAAAAGAAAAATATGCTGACTTGCAAGAACATTTTGAGCTTAAGGGTGAAGTTAAGGAAGCTTTTTCCTCTCTGGAAATACTTCCCGAAAAGAAATTAAGGTATGACAATCGGTTTATGCAGTTACCGATCACTTCTAACATATTGTTACCTTCTATTATGTTTTTTAGGCAAAAATAACACTCTTCCCGTCATAATCGTGAGTAATCTAACTCCGACTCAAGAGCAAAAGCTGGTGCAAGTTCATAGGGAGCATAAAACAGCTCTAGGGTGGACAGTTGCTGATATAAAAGGAATTAGCCCCTATATGTGTCAGCATAGAATCTTATTAGAAGAGGGAGCTAAACCAGTGCGGCAAGTGCAAAGGCGACTTAATCCACCTATGATGGAAGTGGTGAAGAAAGAAGTAATGAAGCTTCTTGAAGTAGGGGTGATATACCCTATATCAGATAGCCCTTGGGTCAGTCCCTTGCAAGTGGTCCCAAAAAAGTCAGGAGTCATAATGGTGGAAGACGATAAGGGAGAAATGGTACCCACCCGAGTGCAAAATGGGTGGAGAGTTTGTGTAGATTACTGAAAACTTAATTCTATGACTCGAAAAGATCATTTTCCCTTACCCTTTATTAATTAAATGGTAGAACGTCTTGCTGGTCATGCTTATTAATGTTTTCTTGACGGATATTGAGGTTATGTGCAGGTCCCTATAGCTCCGGAAGATCAAGAAAAAACGACGTTCACATGCCAGTATGACACATTTATGTATTGTTGTATGCCATTTGGGTTGTGCAATGCTCCAGCGACTTTTCAGAGATGTATGGAAAGCATCTTTTCAGATCATCTTGAAAATTTCATAGAAGTTTTCATGGATGATTTCACTATACATGGAGATTCTTTTGATAGTTGCTTAAAACACCTCACTTTAGTTCTTAAACGTTGTCTTAGCTCGAAACTAACCTTGTGCTTAATTTTGAAAAATGTCATTTCATGGTTCAACAAGGTATAGTTTTAGGCCATTTTGTGTCTTCTAAAGGAATAAAAGTCGATAAAGCTAAAATTGATCTTATTTCTTCTCTGCCTTACCCCGCCTCTGTGCGAGAAGTTCGTTATTTTATTGGCTATGCAGGTTTCTATCGAAGGTTTATTGAAAGCTTTTCGAAGATTGCACAACCACTATGTAGACTACTCCAAAAAGATGTGGAGTTCCACTTTGATGAGGCCTATAAGCAAGCATTTGACAAGCTGAAAGACAAGTTGATCACTGCCCCTGTTCTGCAACCTCCTAACTAGGAGCTTCCATTCAAATTAATGTGCGACGAGTCCAATTATGCTGTAAGGCCAGTACTAGGCCAACGAGTTGGAAAAGTTCCCCATGCCATTTACTATGCCTCGAGGACTTTGGATGCAGCTCAAGCTAATTATACTACAACTGAGAAAGAACTTTTAGCTGTAGTTTTTGCTTTAGACAAATTCAGGTCTTATTTATTGGGTACTAAAATTGTTGTGTTTACTGATCATGCAGCGTTAAAATATTTATGGTCAAAAGATGTATCCAAACCTAGGCTAATAAATTGGATTTTATTGCTTCAACAATTTAATGTTGAAGCAATAGATAAAAAAGGTTATGACAATAGTGTTGCTGGTCATTTAAGCAGGTTAGTTGGGGAAGCTGATGAAGGTAAAGCTCTAATCAATGAAGAGCTCCCTGACGAGAAACTTCATGCCTTGAATTCAGGAACTCCGTGGTATGCTAATTTGGTGAATTTTCTAGTATTTGGGAAGTTTCTAGCCAGCTACACCAATGCACAAAAGGACCGGATGCAAAACATAGCAAAGAACTACATATGGGATGACACATATCTCTGAAAATTTTGTGCTGATCAACTGATCAAAAGGTGCGTACCTGATTCCGAATTTCTTTCTATACTAACTTTCTGCCATTCTTATGCATGTGGGGGACATTTTGGACCAAAGAGAACCGCATGCAAGGTTTTAGAGAGCGAATTCTACTGGCCATCCATATTTAAAGACGCATACGAAATTTGTAAGGCATGTGATATTTGTCAAAGAACAAGTACACTAGGTCCTAGGAATGAAATGCCCCAGACTCCTATTTTAATATGTGAAATCTTTGACGTTTGGGGTATGGATTTCATGGGACCCTTCCCCTCTTCTTTCGGTTTTCAATATATTTTTCTGGCTGTCGATTATGTTTCGAAATGGGTGGAAGCTATAGCCACCCGTATTGATGATTCTAAAGTGGTTACATAATATTTGAAATTGAACATTATTGCTAGATACGGATTTCTGAGGGCTATTATCAACGATAAGGGGACACAATTCTGTAATATAACCGTAAGGGATCTTTTACAGAAGTACAATGTGTTCCATAGAGTCTCCACAGCATACCACCCGTAAACAAATGGACAAGCTAAAGTTTCCAACCGGAAAATCAAATCCATTCTGGAGAAGACTGTGAATCCAACTAGGAAAGATTGGAGTCTCCGCCTCAACGATGCTCTGTGGGCGTACAAAACAGCGTATAAAACACCGATTGGGATGTCTCATTACAGGCTAGTGTTCGGCAAACCTTGTCACCTTCTAGTAGAATTGGAACACAAAGCCTTTTGGGTCGTGAAGCAATGCAATATGGAGATGGATGCAGCAGGTGAGCAAAGGAAACTTCAGTTACAAGAGCTTGAGGAAATCCGAAATGATGCTTATGAGAACACGAGAATTTATAAGGAGAAGACTAAGGCATTTCATGATGAGCGCATCACACGAAAGAAATTTACAATGGGGCAGAAAGTTCTCTTATACCACTCTCGGCTCAAACTTTTCCTGGTAAACTTCGTTCACGATGGGTAGGGCCATTTGTTGTTACCAAGGTATATGACCATGGTGCGGTGGAGATTCGTTGTGAGGACACAGGGAAGGAATTTAAGGTGAACGGTCATCAACTCAAGCCTTATTATGAAGGTTATCAGGTCCAGAACATTAAAGTGATGGAGTTAAAAGCTCCAAGTTATGAAGACTAGTATGCTAGAAAGATGTCGAGCTAACTACGATAAATAAAGCGCTCTTGGGAGGCAGCCCAAGTTTAGGATTATAACATGATTGTTTTTCATTTTTATTTTCATAATTTTATTTTAACTGTTATGTAGTGTGTAAAAAAAATAAAAATAAAAAACAGAGAGCTTCCAGATTTCTGATACGCTTATTTTCAAATCCTTCATAATCTTCTGGAAACAGACACATTTAATTTGCGTGAAATTGGTATTGTTTGTTACAGGCCACATTTAATGGAGAACAGACATATGCTGCTAGATTCAGAGGTGTGAAATATCTAACATTGTGTGGGTAGTCATTTCAGCAACCTAGGAGTGTGCAACGAGAATATGGAGGCATTTTACATAAAGACACATTCACCTCCACTGCTATCTAGCTGTAGCATAAGCATTTTTTTTTAGAAGATTGACAGTGCAGTTGAGCAACTCCAATGTGTTTAAAGCAAGACTTTATGAGCAAGTCCAAGCTTGGGGGGATGTCATCAGGCTAGCTACACGGTAAGTACCCTACGATATTCAACTTCATCCGGTGAGCTCGTTTCTTTGTCTCTTTCTATTATTATCCCCTTTATTTATTTTATTTATTTATTTTTTTACAGTCACACATTGAGGGCAATGTGTGAATTAATCTTAGGAGGATTACATTATATTCAGTCTCTCGGTATGTCTCTAGGTATGGTATTGAGTCTGGTATTGAGTCTGACGATGCAATTTAGACAGCGCTTTGCATATGTGTCAACATTCACTCTTCAATGCTTAACTTTGGTCGATAGACTTGTATGTATGCAGAAAAGAAAAAAAAATGATTCTGTAAACAATTGCTAGCCTGGTGAAAGTCACTATTGTGGTGTTATAATAAGAATGAAATGATTTAGGCATAATTTTTTTTTTACCACATAAGCCAAAAGGTACCATTGAAATGATCCATTATCAAACCGATTTTGAGATTTATTAACCTACTTTTCTTGGGAAATTTCCGGAACATGAAATTCTTACCTTATAAGATTAGTCCAGCATATTGAAGGGTGAATTGGATTATCGTTGTGGTAGTGATGTAATTTGGTGGTGATTTTATATTTTAATAGTTTCATGTTAAAGGCTCTACGTACCAATGTATGGGTTTGGAAAAAAAAATGAATGTTAAATGAATTTCTTTAAAAAAAAAAAAAAACAAAAAAAAAAAAAAAAAAAAAAAAAAAAAAAAACAAGAACCTATATATGTACGTGTGATTAGTAAATCCGTAGGGGTATCTTAAAACCTAGTGTTTAGGGTAAAAATACCCTGTCCACGTGGCCCAATGGCATGCTAACACGTGTCAGCCTCAGAAAGGCCCAAGGGGATCCAATCCTCCTCCGCTGACACGTGGCACCTTAACCCTAAAAGGGGAACTGATCCCCTTCTACTATAAATAGAGGAAAATCCTAATTTATTACACATTCATAAATACAAACACAAAAAATCGAGCAATATTAATTGCAGAATTCTCTCTGAATCATAGAAAAAAAACCTTTATATTCCGCACATCTATACATCCGGAAACGTTCCAACTTGATCGTCGGAGGCGAAACTCCACCCAACCGGAGTTTTGGTGGTTTTGCAGGTACAGACGGTCGACGAGCATTCTTGGAATTGTAACTCTCCCGAGGGACTCCAAAAACCCCGAAACATTTGGCATCGTCTGTGGGGAGAGTACTTCCGAGAAGGCATCCAAATCGGAAAGCGGCCTATGGCCGAGCCGAGGTCCACACGGACCAAGATAGTGGTGACGACTATGAGATCGACACCTATGTGGCCCCAAATGGGTCATTCCGAACTAGGCGGACCCGTTCTAAAGAAACAAGGGAACGGGGCGAAGACAAAGCTGGTCCTAGCAGCCCAATCGGCAAGCCGGCTGAGCGACCCCATGCAGCGGAGGGTACTGCCCCCGTCACCAGAGACGAACTCATGAAATTCATGACGAGTTTCAAAGGGGAGATCAAGGACATAATAAAAAAGTCAATGGGCAGCAACAAGGGTCAGTCAGTCAAGAAGCCTTCTCTCTCCGGGAAGAAGCATATCAAAGATCGGGTGCCTACTCGTCACCCTAAACCAAAGGGGGTGGACGGGCCCCTGATCGACCTATCCAAACTTCGTTTCCCTAAATTAGGGTAAAGGAAGGATATCTGGCAAGTTCAACTGGATGGGTCAAAAAAGACTTACTCAGACGCCCGGATATTCATCCAGGAGAAGAGAAGTCAACAAATGTCTGAGTCGGCCTCAACGTCGACTTACCCAGACAGTTTCCGAAATACTTTAATGAAGTATTCGGAAAAAAATCGAGAGAGTCAGTCACGCGATATGTCCGTGCGTACTGGCCCTCAGATTATCCAGCCGGCTTCGTATGTGCCCCAACCGCCATACATGCCGTATGGATCTCCATACATGCAGTCGACCCTCTTTTGGGGTCAGGCGACACAACAGGTCCACCCCATGGACTGACAGCTCCGGCTGCTAAACGTTGGGGAACAGCCGTCGTCGTTCACTAGGGAGATAACCGAGGCGGCTCAGCAAGCCAAGGTTAAGAACGTGTTGGTTGGAACCTATGACGGTACCACCAACCCGGAAGACTACCTAATGGCTTACACCAACCTCATGTACTTACAGGGGTTAGATGATGCTGCGTGGTGCCGATGCATAACAGCAACATTAAAGGGCATAACCCAACGATGGTTTGTCAATCTGCCAGCCGAATGCATCAACAACTTCAAGACGCTTGCATACCTGTTCGCATCTAACTTCTCCATGAACATCCCTACCAAAAAGACAAGTCTCGACTTGGGGGCTATTCAGCAGGGTGACAAGGAGGGACTAAGGTCTTATGTCAGGCGGTTCAATCTGATGAGAATTCATATCCAAGGGATGTTTGATGAAGTTCCCTATATAGACTTCTTCAAGGGTCTGAAGGACGGGTCAAAAAGAGGGTTGTTACCCTCCAAGAGGCATTGATGGAAGCCGAAGCCTACATACAGACGACGGAGCTATGTGCCATCAAGCACTGGTCGGATCTTAAAAAGACCGTAAAAAAAGAGAGCCACTCTGCTCAGTCGGCCAAAAAGAAGAAAGCAAGAAAAGAAAAGAAGTCTGGGCGGCGGACCATTCTGGTCAGCCGTCCCAGAAGAAAAAGAGGGAGTTGAAGCCGTACGTCCCCAAGTACGAGTTCAATAAGGACTGCTCCTCCATCCTCATGGAGATCAAAGACCGATTGACCCTTGAAAAACCGGCAGCAATGAAGAGTCCCATCAACAGCCGGGACAAAAGCAAGTACTGTCATTTCCATGAGGATATTGGCCATGACACCAATGGTTGCTATAGCCTTAGGCGGCTATTGGACCGTCTTGCTAATGAGGGGGCTTTGAAGTCCTATATGATGAAAACCAAAGCTAACCCCAAAACAAACAATGGACAATCGTCCAAGAAGCCGGCTATGAGCTTTAACACTGATGAAGAGCAGATCCTCACCATAGCAAGCGGCTTCACGGGAGGGGGTCCTACCATCCAGAATACCAAGGACAACATCCGAAAGCTGGTCAACTCAGTGGATGAGGGCCATGCGTTGAAAGACACCTTCCCTAAGGTCCTCATCTCTAAGAAGGATTGGGGCAAGGTCAGGCGGCCTCATGATGACCCAATTGTCATCGAATGCAAGGTTGCCAACCAACGAGTGAGTTAGATTCTTATTGATACCAGGAGCTCGTCTGACCTTCTAAGCTATCAGTGCATGGCGAAGCTCAAGTACAAGCCTAGAAGCATGCACAAGGTCCCTCACCCCTTAGTTGGTTTTGGGGGAGGGGTAGTGCATCCGGTGGGAAGGATTGACCTACCCATCCGGCTAGGAGAGAAGGGGGAAAGACGGCACATGGTCGTCAAGTTCTTGGTGGTCGAGGAATTGACCGCCTACAATCTGATTTTGGGCCGTCCAACCCTCAACGAGTCTAAAGCAGTCATCATCCCATCCCTCATGCTGATTAAATTTGATAGGGATGATGGGTCAGTGGGTTCCCTGAACGGGGATCAGAAGACGGTAAGGGAGTGTTAACTCTCAGACGTCAAGCCTACTGTGGCCGCAGCCGGACAAAGCGAGGAACCCATCGACCTTGATGACTTCAAGGAAGCCGCGCCTGCTCCCAAAGCAGCCGGAAAAAAGAGAAAGGCGGACCACCTGGTGGCCGTAAAAAAAGAGAAGCAATAGTAATCACTGATCGGGGAACGGTCAGATGATCTCCGTCCCCAGCCTGTTGGTGAAAATTTGGACATTGTTCTAGATGACAGCGTCCGGAACGAACCGTTAAAGTGGGGACGGTTGCTTTTGCCAAGTTGGGTGCAGACTTGCGACTTGCACCAACTGCTGAAGGAATTTAAAGACATTTTTGCCTTTGAAGTGGAAGATATGCCAGGCGTCAGCCCGGATCTTGATGTCCAAATACTTGCCGTGGATCCAAAAAAGAAGTCGGTTAGGCAAAAGAAAAGGAACCACAGCGAGGAAAGATCTCAGGCGGCAGCCGCCGAGGTCAAGAAGCTACTTGAGGCCGGGTTCATTCGGCAATGTTACTACTCGGATTGGGTAGCCAATGGTGTCCTTGTCAAAAAGTCGAATGGTACCTGACGGATGTGTGTTGATTACACAAATCTGAACAAGGCATGTCTGAAGGATAGCTATCCACTTCCAAAGATCGACAGTCTGGCCGATTCTACAGCCGGTCATGCCTTGATGAGCTTCATGGACGCCTATTCAGGCTTTCATTAGATACCCTTGTGGAAAAAATATCAAGAGAAGACGACATTCGTCACTGATCAAGGGTTATTTTGTTATACGGTGATGCCGTTTGGGCTGAAGAATGTGTCTGGTACCTTCCAACGGTAATTAATACGGTCTTCATTAATCAAATTGGGAGGAATGTAGAGGCGTACATTGATGACATGATAGTCAAATCCAAGCTCTAGATGGATCACCTTGCTGACCTCCGAGAAACCTTCACCACCCTCAGGCGGCATAAGGTCATGCTTAATCCCAAAAAGTGTGTCTTTGGTGTTGAGTTTGGGAAGTTTCTCGGATTCTTGATTGATCAAAGGGGGATAGAGGCCAATCCGGAATTACAGGCGGTAATTGACATGAAGTCACCCCGCATTGTCAAGGAAGTCCAAAAGCTTATCGGTTGTCTGGCGGCATTGGGGAGATTCCTCAACCGGTCAGGCGACAAGTGCCTCTACTTCTTCTAGGCAATCAAGAAGAAGACTAGATTCGAATTGGGGGAAAATGCTGAGGCGGCATTCTAGAAATTGAAAGAGAACCTCCACTCATTGCCACGGCTGGTCAGCCCTCTAGCAGGAGAGGTTCTATATATGTATTTGGCCGTCTCAGACCATGCCCTCAGTGCCGTTGTCCTAGCTGAAAGAGACGGTATCTAGTTCCCGGTCTATTTCATTAGCCATGTTCTTCGAAATGCTGAGCTGCGGTACC